TACGGCTATATCAAGTTGGAACACCAGTTCCCGTATGATCGTTGAAGTTAAGCAACGTCGAGCCTAGTTAGTACCTAGATGAGGGGCCGTTTGGGAATACCAGGTGCTGTAAGCTTAGATATGCAGGTGATGTAATGGATAATGGTTCGAAATTGTTAATCGGAGAGCCTAGTTCTAATTCTAGTTGGGTTCCTTATATTCACTTACGCAGAAATTCTCTTGGGAAAGGTATGAATTCACCTCTTCTTCTCCATGTATGGATTAATTAGTAAAACTTGTATCACTAAACCGTTATCATTTAAAAAAGAACGGTATGAATCCACCTCTTCTCCTTAAGCTATGGGTTAAATAGTAAGAATTGTATCAGTAAATAATTATTATCCCCCACCCAGTTCTTAAAATATAAAAAAAAAGTCGTGAGGTCTGGCGTTATCCTGATGGAAAATGACACGCTTCTGATTGGCCAATTGCGGGAGCTTTTAATTGGTCACTGCCTTTAATCGGTTTAATTGGGAATAATGTTTGAATTCAACGTTTCATTTAGTGGAAGCAACTTTTAATAAACAATCTGCATCAGATACACAGCATCAATCTCTTCGGATGCAAATAGTCTTTTGGAATGGTTAACGGTGGCTTATTTTATTTTCCCCAGATCTTTTTCACTTCATATTGTTCTAGCCAATCCATTTTTAATCGCTGTAATCATTCTTCTGAAAACTTTGTTTTTCTGCATTTGATCAGATAGAACTGCAGGCCATAAAATATTTTTCCGTTAAATTGGAAAACAGCCAAACATCTTAACGATTCACGTATCTATGTGTTTTCAAATGCCTCGAAAGTCTCATATGTGATAAATGGAGTAACATTGTGATGCCCCGTGTCGTGTGAACTGGATTATTCTAAAATGGCGTTTCAGTTTGACCATTATCAACGACTGTAGTCGTACCAGAACGTTCTTGGTTCTCCAGGTAAAAATATTCACTTCTGAGCCTAGCGAGCTACTTAAAAACATTAGTCTCATCTACGGCACCATCTTCATAAACGACACATATATATTTTGCTGTTTGTACAGTACTTTTCCTTTTCTAAAATAAAAGAGCACCAAATTACGAAAATATATTTCATGTTTTCACTATTTTCAGTTTTACCTTAAAAATATCTAAACTTCATAATCCGCATACGAATCGTATAAAAAGCAATGAAATTTTTCAGAATATGTGCATATGCCATAAATTACAGTCACGTGTGAAATGAAATCACGTATTTAAACACTATTTACTGAAAAAGAAATATTATTTTGTCAATCATATATTTTGTATTAAACCTATCTAAATCTTTGCATTTCATTTGCACAAATTTATCTCTCATAATACTGATATGGCAGCAGCATTACATGCTAAACTGTTTGCAAATTAATGACTAATATTGATCAGCATTCAAAACTATCTTCAGTTAATAAAAATGAATGAACGTAATTATGCGTGTGTAGACAGTGCGTGGGTGGATGGGTATGAACATGATTTTTTTTCTTTTGCACTTGATTGCTGATAACAGTATTGCGATCATAAACTGAAAAACCTCCATCAGCAATGGCCAAACACATACAACGAACATAAACATTCCAAATTAAAAATCATAATAATTTTTCTTTTTCAAATTCTTTGAAGCTAAGCCACAACTCTTTTAACATTAGACATATCTAAAAATCATTACTAGTATCATTTCCATTACTATTCTTATCATCGTAATTAATACTTTCATTATTATCATTATTTGTGTTAATGCGCCTATTTAGAACATTGTAAATCAATATCATTTGGAGCAGTTTCTACTCATTGATTTCAGAGCCATCATCGTTATCGTAAACACAGCGTTCATCAAAATGATCTTCATTTCAAAGCATCACCGCAAAACAGCTTTTATTAAAATCATCACCTCAATTTCATAACACTGGTCATTATTCTCTTTTTCACGGTTTTGATTTCAGAATTGTGCTTCTACTAGACTGGTTGCCAAACCAGACTAGAGAGGCCAATCTTCCTTGTTATTTTACTCATAGGCTGGAGAAAAGTGTTGGAATCATGCCTTTTCAAACGAGAAATGACGTTACATAGTTATAGGCTGATAATATATATATATATATATATATATATATATATATATATATATATATATATATATATTTAAAAAAAAAACAGACCACTTTAGGTACCATTATAATAATTTATTTCATGAGAGTCCTTTTAAAGGACGCCGGATCATCAAAGCACTTCCAACAACGAAATGAAACGTTTCATTCGTTGTTGGAAGTGCTATCTGATGATTCGGTGTCCTTTAAAAGGACTCTGGTGAAATAAATTATTATAATGGTATCTTAAAAGTGGTCTGTTTTCTTTTTAAATATTAGCTCTGGATTTACATTGAGCTCTCAGGATTTCGTCCTCCTTGGGATTACCCATACGGATTACCAAGTTCTTCATAATATATATATATATATATATATATATATATATATATTTAATACAAGTAAAAGATTTGTCACTTAGTTGATTGATATTACCTTCAGCATCTGGAATCCAGAATTTCGTAGACGGACACCCCGGGAATTGCCCCGTCCACTCGTCAGTGGTTATCAGCAATTTACTGCATAACTTCTCGGTTTTTCTTTTTTATATGCACTTTTCATTGGTGCAAGTTTTTTTCATAGTGTATGTGTTCGTGCATGCATGTGTGTGCGTGTAGTCGTTCCTTCGCGTGCGCCCGTCTGCGCGTTTTTGCGTACGTCTAAAATGTCGTGGTTATTTGTCCCTTTTGTCGTTTTTTTCACTTTGCACTCACTCCTTAACCTTTTTCTTTCTTTTCGCTTTTCTTTTTTCTTTCAAATGTAGCCATTTTGATTTCAATTTCTTAAGCGTCCTAGTGTTATATATATATATATATATATATATATATATATATATATATATATATATATATAGGTATATCTACAAATTCTACAAATTCTACTTGTACCATGTAAGCCAGAACCGCCACATGATCGGGTCGTTGGTCATTAAACTAGTTCTCTCGTCAGGATTTCTGGCGAGAAGTGTTGCTAGACACACAGCAAGACGTTTCAAAGGACGCATTGACTTACTCCTAGGGTGAACGGGCGCCTAGGACATTGGGATAGACTGGTTTTCATAGCTATGTAAAAAGACAGTGCGGTGATACGGTATCACTGGGTGGAAAGCTTCCAAGACAGAAGTCAACGGTCATGTCGGAGGGTTCTTCTCACTGCTGGAATCAATAGCCACATGACTGTGATCAAGGCGACTCTTCAAATTAGGGAACATCGGTACGGCTCTGCTAGGTCTACGTATGAATGAATAGATCTCTGGCTTTCAACACAGATATGCGGAGGAAACTGGTTAGGTGCTTAGCCGTGCAGCCACCCTACGACCACACCCGGTCATAGGACCAGCGAGGTGATAAATGATACGGAACCTGATTGTCATAGTATGCCATGATAACTGGGGGCTTGATCTTCATCTATAAAACCGCAATATTCACTGCCGAAAATCAATCGCTTGCATTATTTTTTTTACAAACACGTGCTCTTATAGATGTTTAAAGAGGCCTGCGATCATGAACATTCACTCATGCACTCCCAAATTCAGGAATAATAACAATAATAATAATTATAGTACGCAGCCACATGTATAAAGAATTATTAATACAACCTAATTAAGCGTAACTTTATGAGTACAAGTAAACATTTAGACGCAAGTGGTCACACACGGGCGCACCACATACAGACACATAATATGCTGCATAAGGATATAAAATGAATTAAATAAATAGACAAAAATAGAAAATGGCCTAATACAAGTATGCGTCTGCTCGGCGCACTTATTTAAACTTTACAGCGAGGTAACAGTAAGAGAACTAGAAAACCTTCTTGGATTCATTAATTGTGTGCACAATCTTAGCAATATAAGATACGCACATGACACCGAGTTGATAAGATGTGGGCCAGGTATAATGGATAGCGGCTCGAAATGAGAAACCGGAGGACCGAGTTCGAAATCCAGTCGAATTTATTACGCTCACTAACTCGTAAATATTCTTGGGAAAAGTATGAATCCATTTCAACCCCCAACTATGGGCTAAATAGTAAGAACTGTATATGAAAAAGTAACTGTTATTCTAAAAAAAAAATTGTTAATGCGATAAACACTCGCAAAAAATCCAAAATATTTTTCGGTTTCGAATAGCCCACAAACTGTGGATAAGCCTTCAAATTCAAAACAAAACAAAAATAACCGTGTTGATAGCTGTTATAGTGAAACACACCTATTCTATAGTTAATAGACTCTCCCGCCTATAATAAGTAGGAGTAGTAAGAGTAATGAGTCAGTCGATGTCGGACGACAGTCGAACTCTCTGCCTTCGGGCAGAGAGTAACCCGGACGAGGCTATGCCGAAGGGCAGCGTTTCGTCCGGGGAGGTAGACAGACCCGATCCCGTTTATGCGGGGTCTGCGGGGATTTTTTGGCCGAGCCTACGGGTTCAGGAACCCCACATTAAATTTAGCCTTGTGCCACATGTGACTGCGTAGGGCAGTTACTAAATAGAGTCAGACGACAGTTAGTCGGATACTAAAGCATCAGCGACCACAACTAGATTACTCTGCGTTATACCTATTATATCAAGTTCCTAACGTTTGGTACGTCGAACCTATTTTAGGACCGACAGTACAAATACAAGCCTTCACTGTGAAATCACTCCATAACAATAGCAGACGCAGAAAACCTATTGGAATACGAAAGCATGAAGAAAGAACTAATCATCAGTTGTAAGAATACAAAATATGTAGTTGTCAGCAAGTAGAATTTCCCAAGATGCGTCCTATAAAATGTACTTGTCAAAATCAAACAAGTGCAGAAGTTTAAATATGCGGATTTTAACAAACGATGAAAAATGTGACACCGAAATCCGAAGGCGCATTGGAATAGCAAAAGATGTTTTCCAAGAGTTAAACAAAGTATTAAGAAACAGGAAAGTTTCGTTAGAAAGAAAGAAAAGAGTGCAGAACTACTATGTAATATCAATCCTCTTATATGGCAGTGAG